AAATGACGTCCATATGATGGAGTAATTCAGGTAACTCTCCATATGTTCATTTGAGGTGCTGTCAAAACATTTTGATCCGTTTTGAAATGTTTTTTGGTAGAACATGTCTGGGAGACTTTGAGCTCCCACCAGAATCCAAACAACGACTGAGATGATCACAGAGTGAGTCGTAGTCAATCTCCCCATTGCTCTCATAGGATGGACGATGGACAGGTACCTGTACACACTTATACAGGTGAGGAATCCAATGCTGCAGTACAGATTCAGGTTGAAGCAAAATCTTGTTACCAAGCAGAATCCTTCTCCAAAGATCCATTTGTTTCTTTTAAGGTGGTACACGATCAGAAAGGGGAGAGTGAGCAGATACAAAATATCTGCTAGTCCAATATTTAGGACAAAGATCTTGATATTCCCCAGTTTCCTCCAGTTGCGCCGCAAAGTGTTCAATCCCCATCTATTACCATTCAGTCCAACAATAAAACCCAAGATGTGAAGAGCTGGCAGAATTGTATGTTCAAATAATTTCTTATCTTGTTGAGGACAACTGGTATTATTCATTTTGTCTTTCAGAAACAAATGATATCAGCCCTTCTCCTCTGAGGCTTTCCTTTTTGAAGCCCCGCCTAGTTGTAGGTCGATTTAGCTGTGCATGTCAAAAAAAAGAAAACCCTAACCCTAAAAGAAAAACTGCAACACCTTGTCCTATCACACTAAGTTATGGTGCATATTTGACAAGCAAATGATTCATTATAATAAAACCTGGAAATTACATCAGACATTTGTAGCAAAGCCCTTAAAAAAATGACAAGTAATTTTTAATTCATCATTTCAGATAAAAACAAAAGAACAGGTGCACTACAAAAACAAAATCTTATTTTTTGGTCTAGGTTCTACTGTAAATATCTTAGTACACTTGAAATAAGCTTGTTTTTAGTAAATAATTCCTTAATATTGATAAAATACGAGTTCTACTGGAAGATTAACATATGACATGGGATAAATGTCTTCTTATAAGTGAAATAATATTCCAATGGAACAAGTACTTTTACATCAACTGAGGAATTATTGACTAATTGCATACTAGTGACAAGATGGCCTTACTATGAATGTTGGCTCTGGTTCACCATCAGTTTCAATGACATTAAAGATTTTTTTTGTTCTTGGGTTGTTCCTGAGTTTCACTGAGTTCAATTAACTCCTCAATTGTTCTGAGTATTTTACACCATTATGTCCCCCGTTGGTCTGGTTTCACACAATAAATAAGGTCTGGGAATGAAGTGACTAGGCAGTTGGAAACAATGCAGTTTTTAGTTAGAAATGAAGTTATTCAAAAACAAAAATGATACAATAACATTATAAAATTAGGGCAAAAAGAAGCTCTCAAAAAAATTAAGGAGCTTCTTTTTGTTTTTGAAGAGATCCAATGCTATACTGGTTGAATACATTCAGTTCCAAAAATTTTCAGAGGAAAGGTTAGAAACGGTCTTGTTTCTGTCACTCTTCTGTAGAGATTACTTTCCAATTATGTGGTTTGTTTATGAAAATTGCAGCTTGGGTTCTTGTCAGGAGAGTTGCATGTAAAACTGAGCAATACTTTGTGTTTAAACCAAATTAAAACCAGTTTAAACCTCAAATTCATGAGATTTGTTTTTGACCTTTCTTCAAGTTGGATTGAGTCTTTGGTGCCATCTGGTGGTGGTGAAAATTATTACACTCACCTGGTGTTTACATGAACATATCTGTATTTTTTAGCAGTTATTAATTAAACAAACTGTCCTCAAACATATAATTATGTATATTATATGCATTTATAAGTATTTACCCAAGAAAATCAGATTCTGTCGTGAATGCAAAGCGGTTTCTACATTTGGCAAAATGGACAAGTAAAGAGAGGGATTCTACCACATCATAACCAACATGATGTTGGTTATGCTTGAGTTGTTGGATCAACAACTCAAGCATAAAGGCGGCTTCAATCAGAAAAAATTACTGTGATTACTTATTGGCAGCTGGTAAGATGTCATGAAACGTCAAGCAGGTAGCCAGCAGAAAAAAACCAGAAATTGATGCACAGTTGTTTACTACCTGTTTTTGCATATTAAAACTACTTTACCTGCCCAAGCTGGTGTTCTTCCCCGCCTGCAAACCGGTTAATAACATAATTGTACAGTTGATATTAATTCAAAGTGCTCTACAAACAAAATGTATGTATGTCTTCCCTCTCGCAGGTAATCCTACCATCACAATCACCGTTGGGGAGTTGCAGAACTGAGGCACAGATGCTGATGGGAAAACATACACCAAAAAACACAGAGAGGATGTAATTCTGGACTGGGTCAGTGGTTAAATATTCAGGAAATCAACATTCGTTAGGTGCAATCCAGCTCGGTAGGGCTCAGTGTTGTTGGAGGTTTGTGTCATTAGATAATTAAACTTCATTAAAAGAACAAGAGTTACACAAGGAAACTCAAATTTCTGCAAAGCAAATCTGGATTTCAGTGAAAACTCTTAATATCAGACATCAAACGCTTTGCTTCAGACTCAGATTTGACAATAAGGGAAATAAAACCTCAGACAGCAATAAATCATGTCTAATTATTCCTAATCTTTTATACTGTACGCTGGTGAGAGAGAGAGAGAGAGAGAGAGAGAGAGCGAGCAACATGTTGTAATAGTTGCCCAAGTAAAGACGGAACTGCTCATGAATTTAGATGAGCACATTTGGCTTTGTTTATATTAAAATTTTCTTCAACCACCACTAGAGGGCAGGTTACACTTTTATTTTAAAATAAATGGCCTTGCCAAGTTTTATATAAACGTGTGCGCGCGCGCACGTGTATGAGGTCGTAGAAAAGGCAAAGGGCAAAGAGAAGTTGACTGTTGTCTCACATTAAAACAATCAGCATGGATTTCCACTGAAAGGGAAGTCTACACAAATTAAGGGCCAGAAAATGATCCTTGTACGGCTTTTCATTGTAGAAATTATATGCAGACATTTGTATAGCGTCTAAAATAATTTAAAAAATGAATAATTTGTAACTCCATGAGGAAGTATATAGCTGGTAACCACACAACACCATTGTGTATTGTGTGTGTGTCAAGTAACATTGCACCTTGATATTTCAGTTTCCCAAGCTGCAGTTTTAAAAAAATATTTTAACTGCGTTCTACAAAAAAATAAAAAAATCAGCTAATTGATGGGTTAATTACTGGAGTCATGTTTCACAGAAAAATCCACAAACAGGTGAATCTGCAAATAGGGAAAGAGTCAATAGGTATGAGTTCACTGTAAATATAATTGCACAAAGTCTTTTCACATTTCATTGCAGAAAGTCCATCCAACACTAGTGGCTGGCTGGCATTTGTAAAGCAACCAATCCAGAAGTGCCATTATTTTCTTTGACATCGGCTGTACCCTCAAGAGTGCAAATAAGTGAGACTGTGGATGCCCACTGTGTGTGTTAATGCATATTAAGATGTATTTAATGTTTGAATTATTAAAGGGGACTGCATTTTTGTACTTTTCAACCTTTCACTTACAGCAAACAGAGCAGGTTGTGAAACACGTGTAGTTAATATAGAATCTAAACTATGAATGATTGAGCCCGATAGTTAAAGTACGATGCTTTTCTTAACATCCTCACTTGTAGTTACATTGACCTGATCTAAAATTTGTGAGGTTCCCATTCAGTAAAATAGGAAATGTTAACTTTAGGTTCTTTTTTCTTATGTAATAGTTCTTCACTAGGTGATGGGAAGGAATGTAAATGCCATCTTCAAGACAAGAAAATAGGATGCATGTTTTCCAGGAAAAGCCTTCATTTGATATAGCTTCCCAGAAACAGGCAGAGCTGTGGGGAAGATTGCTTGTGATATGTTAAAACAAGTTCTTAAAAAACTCTAAAATAAAAATGGATTTTGTTCTCATCCCCTATTTAATGTCTACCACAGCCAAAGTTCACAATGTACACACATTGCTGGGAGAAGCAGAGAGGTTGAATGTTACCTCACATTAATACAATCAGACTGCAAGGATTTTCTGAAAATGCAGCCTATACAGTGTGTAGGGGTGTTTATTTTGACAATGTGGCAAGTGCCTTGCAAAAGTCTTGCCTCACTTAACATTTTGTCACATGGTAACCACTAACTTCAATGTATATTTTTAGAGTCCCTGTGCTTTAAAATCAAAAGATGCTTACCAAACACAGACAACCAACATGCAGTGCCAACCTGCATGTTGCTGTTCAACTGCAACATGCAGGTTGGCACTGCATGTTGTCGCTGTTCTCATTACTGTTATCTCTCCTGTAGAGAGATAACAGTCAAGAGAGACTGTTATATCTCTACAGGAGATCTTGGAGATTTTTCTAAGTAATCTTAAAAAGATTACTTTTTAATCTTTCATTTAAATTTTCACTTACTTTTTAATCTATCTGCAAGCAGAGCAGGTTGGGAAATACATGTAGTTAATACAGAATCTAAACTATAAATGATTGAGCCCGTTAAGTTAAAGTATAGTGCTTCTCTTAACATCCTCACCAGAAGTTACATCGACCTGATCTAAAATCAAACTGTGTGGTTCCCATTCAATGAAATATTAGGAAATATTAATTTTAGGTTCTGTTGTCTTATGTAATAGTTCATCACTAGGTGATGGGAAGGAATGTAAGTGCCATCTTGAAGATAAGAAAGTAGAGTTTCTGTTTTCCAGGGAAAGCCATAATTTGATGTACCTTCCCAGAAGCAGGTAGAGCTGTGGGGAAGATTGCTTGTGACATGTTAAAACAAGCTTCCAATTAAAAACGGACTTTGCTCTCATTGCTTATATAACAGAAAATTGCACAATCATCCAGCAGGTCTGAGCAGCTTCTGGTGCTGAGCCATCAGCAGATACAATAAATCTATAAAGTCACTGCATGACCATAAGATTTTATTCTCATATTGTTATGACATTATTCTTGTATTATTTCAACCTTATTCTTGTACGAATTTATTTTTGTAGTATTCTTGTAACATTGTTATTTTATTTGCATATTAGTTTTTCTTCTCGTAACTTAACCTTATTCTCAAAATTCTCATTTTATTCTCATTACGACTATCTTCTCATTTTATTTTGTATTCTCGTCCAACTTTGTTTTCATAATTTTATTTATTTTTGGTAATATCGCCTAAATACTCCGGTCTAGAAGTTGAACTGAGTTTCATATTTTTGCATGTTTGCTGTAGAGTAGAGGTCAGCAATTAGGCAACTTTACCTGTTTGCAGTTCATGCAAAGCAAACAGCAACCTCTGCCACTGCCCACAAAACTTGGAAAAGCTTGAGGGAATGTTGTGGTCCATTTTGTCGGTGCTGTTAGCCCCGTTAGGAGATTTCAGATTCTCATAGTGTCACAGCTGCTGCTGAGCTGTGACCACTCACACCTGATCATCATCACCTTGATCCCCAGCTGCTGCTATATAAGGACGGATCTTCCCCCTGCACGGCGTTAGATTGCTGTGAAACCCTCAGCGGTAACACCGTCAGGACTACTGTAGTAACTTGAGCTAACTGCCCAGTAACTAACCTGTCTGTCTCTTCCTTCTGCCTAGTTGCCTCTCCTGTCCCCGATCCTGACCCCCACCACTGGTTTTGGACCTTCTGGCTTCGACCCCCTGTCTGTCTGACCCTGAGATCTGGAACCCGTTTTGATCTGGATTTGGACCTGCTGGCTCTGACCCCCTGTCTGTCTGACCCTGAGATCTGGAACCCGTTTTGATCTGGATTTGGTCCTGCTGGCTCTGACCCCCTGTCTGTCTGACCCTGAGATCTGGAATTGCCTGAC